GTTGCCTTATGTTTGGCTCACATTTGTATAACAGCAGCAGTACTCTGTGAACCCAAAGGAAATGAGGTAAGGACTGGAGAGGCCTCCCACTTCCAACATTTCTTCACGTCCCTGTAACTCTCAGAATCATTGACACTATTTGCACTATTTAACCTTTAGTTGGTTTCTACATATCCCAAGGTCCTGCAGGGGTTTTGTTTCCAAGTAGTTTTTAAATGTTTGAGGGATTGAGGACAACAGCAGTACCCAAAATTTTAAGTGCTATATTTTGGCTGTATTACAGGCTCTCTAAATATTACCTATAGTTTAAATACAACTCCAACAATCTGAGTGGGAAAAATTACAATTGCTGATGTATTAGTTACTTTGGCACAGATCAGCTAAAATTCACAACTGTTATAAGGCCATAAAGCTGTTCTTTCAACATCTTCTGATTTACTGAGGCACCCTTTTCCCTATTCTTTAGTCCTAAGTGGTTATGTTTTCACAGAACTGGTATTTTCTCAACCAGTTCTCTGGTTGAGTGTATTCCAAAGACTTCTGTGTTACAGTATATTTAGATCACCAAAACAAGCTTATAGGTACTTCTATGTGGGTATAAGGGGGCCACACATTAACAGGTACTTAAGTTGTTTTTTTTTTTTTTTAAAGATTTTATTTATTTGAGAGTGCGCGCACACAGGCAGCGGGAGCGGCGGGTAGAGGGAGAGGGAGAAGCAAGCTACCCGCAGTGAGCAGGGAGCCCTATGTGGGGCTCGATTCCAGGTACCCCGGGATCACGAACTGAGCCGAAGGCAGTCACTTAACCAACTGAGCCGCCCAGGCGCCCCAGTTAGTTAAGTTTTAAAATGATTTTAACTGCTACCTAAAGAGCTCTCTTCAGTCCTCCAATGTAGAGAAAGCTTAAAATTGGGCTGGGAAACAGGCTAGTAGCTCACTACCTGGCTTCTGATTAAGAATTCTTTCACTTATAAACCAAGAACACAAGCTTCTAAGAATGGATCACTGCTTACCTCAGGAGCCTTTAACTAGACTCATACTGTGGAATTCTTCAAATACTATGCTTATGGCTCAATGTTTAACAGTTACAGTGATACCTTTTAGTTTCCCAAACTAGTTAAAAAAATACCCAGGATTTTGAGTTTTTCAACTTGGCATAGTTCTTTCCAGATTCAGTTCCACTCAAATCCCTGTCTGAATTATTTTTTGAAATCTAAGAGGAAAAAAGGTGGAATCAAGAGGACTTGGATATTGGAAGAGATAGGGGATGTGGATTCAATGTTTGAGTGACCCATGTGGCTGTGTGACAGGACCATGGATTGAGAAAGAACTCAAGTTTTGGGGAGGGAAGAGGATTTTCATCTTGTAGACAAGTTTGAGCTATGTGAGATGCAGGTTGTATAGTACACAAATGGATGTACAGAGCAATCTCAGCTGAAGTTCAATTTGAACACACATGGTAACTGAGGACAGTGGACAAGATAGTTCAGAGAATTGAAGGTCCAAGCCCAAACCCAGAAAAAAGGCATGAGTTTCATGACTGTAATCCTATTATTAAGCATCACAAAGCTATCACAATTACTTTTTCTGAATTTTGTAATTTGCAAAAATGTTTTTGTTAAATATTTCTGGCAATTTTCTCTAGTAGAAAATTAGACCTATTTAGGATATCCAGAGGATTATACATCCTAAAAAACAAAAATTTCAGTAATGGAACATTAAGAGGATGGTCATTCCATGAGCCCATTTAAATCTCATCTATGCTACTAATAATGCTCCAATTACCACCAATTTCCGGATTTGCACTACAGAAATAGCATTTAAGAAAATAAAGCATAAACAGAGGAATGCCTGGGTAGCTCAGGTGATTGAACGTCTGACTCTTCCTTAATGATCTTGGTGTTGAGATCGAGCCCTGTTGAGCTCCATGTTCAGTGGGGAGTCTGCTTGAGATTCTCCCACTGCCCCGCCCCCAAGCACTCTTGCTCTCTAATATAAA